TCAATGGAAGTACTCTACTTCATACAGCATGTTATTTTGATAATTTACCTGCTGTAAAACGTCTTCTTAGATTAGGTGTCAATCCTGATGTAAGAGATTATCAAGGTAAAACGGCTCTTCATCGTACACGAGATATAACAATTATTAAAGTTTGTTTCTTTCTACTTTCTTTTTTTTATTATCATTTCTCATCTTTATAGTTTCTTATCGAATCCAATGCTGATGTAAATGCAGTGGATCACGATGGTAGTACTCCATTACATACAAAATGTGTTGGTGAATATAGTAAACCAATTGAATTAAATGCTATTCGAATTTTACACGAATATGGAGCAGTATTAGATAAATGTAATGCAAATGATGAAACATGTTTTCATCTTGCAGCACGAAATGGACATACAGAAATCTTACAATTATTATTTGAACTTGGTGAAATACCTATTCGAGAAGCTATTCGAGTAGCGGAACAAAAATCAGGCCCAGAAAATTTATCAACACTTGCATTAGCAGTACGCTTTGATCATTTAGATTCAGCTATATGGTATAAAAAAGAAAGAATTTTTTTTAATGAAAAATTTGAAAAAGAATACATGTGTTTCTTTTTCGACTATAAAGGTTAGCTGAACATGGATTTACATTTAAACATAACGAAGCAAAAGATTTAATTAATGATATTTTAACAGAAAAAATTGTTTCGTAAGTTCTTTTATAATTAGTTATAAGTTGAAAAAGATTTTCTTTTGTAAAGAACGGAACCTGAACGCCTTTTGCAATTTATTTGCAAAGAAGGTAATGCAACATTATCAACTATTTATGATGGAGGAAATACGTAAGACTATTTGAAATTATTTTTTTCCAAAAGAAAAAATTGAAATAATTGATTTGTAATTAGTGCTCTTCATTTGGCTGCATCAATGGCATCTACAGAACCATTGAAATTATTAATATCACTTGATTTTGATCCAAATACAATTAATCAATCAAAAGAAACACCTTTATTTGTTGCTGCTCGAACAAATAATATAGATGCAGCATGTGTTCTCATTGAAAATGGTATTGATTGGAGAATTAAAAATACTCAAGGTAAATATAGTTTCATAATAATATATCAAAATTTATTATCAACATTGAATCTTTAGGTTATACTGCTTTTGATTATATTCCTGATATTGATGAATGGTTAGCATCAAAAAAATTTGATGAAGACACACATGCATGTCTTCGAGCTTATAAATATAAAGATATTCGAACACTTATGTATACAGTGTCATCAAAACTTGACCAATTTGATGCACGTTTAACAGCAAATCGTAATATTCATTTGCAAAAAGCATTTCAAAAGTTTAGTTATGAAATTGATAAAACTGAAGTAGACGTTTTTCAATCCCCACGTTTACGAAAACGATAATATATTATTTCCTAAAAATAATATTTACTATCAATTGGTGACACAGAGTTTTATTTTTTATTTTTCTATTTAGTTTATCACGGTTTTTTTTCTATTTAAAATTTTAATAAAACTTCAGCAAAACTTTTTTATACAAACGATATAAATATTAAAGGATATATATAGGTAGGGTATCCCAAAGATCTGCCGTGAAAAATAATGGATATACCACTTGAACAGTTCAAATTATATACATATTTCTTTTTCACTATTATAGTGTATGCTTTAAATTTTTATTGAAAATAATTTGGTTTCTAGCAAATATTCAAAATGATTATCGGATTCCCTCTAGTTTGGTCGTAAGTAAAAATATCGAAAATAAAAAGACCTGAAATCTAAATGCCACAAACTAAGGTGGAAACTTCTGCATTTTTCTTGTTGAGAAAATTAAAGAATCAAGGCAATAAATTTTAATCAAATGCTTATTATTGACAAAGAAAGAGTGAAAAACAAGCAAAAAGGTTTGTCTATCTTAGTTTATCAACGTTAAGTAGTGTTCTTATTGCATAATCATCATTTTTTTGCCGCAACTAAAGACAAACCATTGAGGAGAACATATGCTATAATGAGATAATTATTATATCGATATCACAAGGTATCTATTCGACTTTGTAATACTATTGACCGTTTGTATTTCTGTTTCAATGTACCCAGAAGATTGTACGTGTGGGTTTTACTCTATTCTTCATCCACACCGTCAAGATATTCGCGTTTTGTTTTTGCACGGTATACTTTTGAGGCATGCATCTTTTTTTAAATTCATGTGAAAAATAAAACTTCTTTCATTTCCTCGATGAATATTCGGATCTTAATCATTAATGAAGAGTACATTTTGTTTTTGAAATGTCATCAAACACATACGTATTGTCTTACTGTCTTATCATTTTTCGATGCATAAAAAACCAAAAACAACACAATAATATTTACAAGTATTTATGAAATATTATATCTGTCTGGAATCATGTATTATCTTTACTCTTTGACCAATAAATAAATAAATTCTTTTCATTTTTTTCTATTTCATTCGCCAAACTTCAACAATTTGTTTTAATTATTCTCTAATAAAATAAGTCATGTTATTTCTTGTTGTAGAGCTATTTTTATTATTATTCTTAACGCCATGTTAGATGGCTTTTTGGTCATCATCATCATCATCACAAAATGATCAGTTTCATTATACACATAATAAAAAATAATTGAATGCGTTATATAATAAACCTATTCAATCAGTTCAAGAATACAGTCGTCCATTAGAAAGCCTGATGGAAAGTTTTTAAATCGATTTGGTATTAATCATTGAGGACAAGTAGCTACTGTTCAAGATGGACAAAAATTTCTAGTACATAAAGGAAATAATTTTGGCACAAATTCACGAAAAGTAGTTGTTGATACAAGATTTATGTCAAACAATTGATCACCATGTGGATCATCTATAAGTGTTAATCCTGAAAAAACACCCGTGTATTTAGGTGATTTATTTAAAAGTGATGGTTCTCATTATAATGCATTGCGTAGTAACTGTATGCACGGTTCCAATCAAATGCAAGAAAGCTTCCAAAATGAAAAATAATTATTATTTTATATCGATTTATTTCAATGACAACAATTTTTTTGATTATTCACTGTTAGTCTTATCCAGTTGATCAGTTTTCAATTCTAATTAATAGTTTTATAAAGAATTATTAAAACGTTTGAATAAAAACTCTTGAAAATAAATATACTGAAGAAGTTCATTTTAGATTCAACTTCAAGAAGTTAAATATCTATAACTGTTATTTTATCAACTTGAAATATTTGTTTTTGTTCATATTCCTGATATATATATATATACCGAATTCGATAAGAATCAATGAAAAATATCGAACAGTATAAATGATCGTAAACTACAGTAGTAATTAAAAATATAAAATCAACATCATTTTCAGATTTTTCTACGATACCAAGCATCAAACTTAAATCCAAACGGTGGTTTGATTAGTTGATGAAGTTCTCTATCAAATACATCGCATACCACAATTTCATAAATGGATTATGAGATGAAATCTTCTCAAAAACCAAACACCATAGTTCTCAGGTTATAAAAGACTATGTGAAAATTAGTTGCTAAGTGAACCATTTGCAACAAACTTATCTGAAAATAACTGTGTAGAGCCTGCTAGTCTTTAAAAATCGATCCTGAACTAAGTACATTCAATTCACATGAAACTTTCAGCATAGGTTAAGGATGTTGTGGAGAGACTATGCTAAGTTTTTTAACCTTATATCATGATATTTTCGCGAGATATTCAACAAACAAGACTCAAAAATAGTTCACTTCGCAACATAAAATTATCGGTAGGTCTTCATTTTTATATACTCAAATTTTGTTTTGTTTGAAACATCAGGACACAAAGTTCCGTCTGTAGAAAAATTTTACTCGAACCAGCAAGGTATTCTTTTAGAAAAAAATAGTGACAAAGTTTATCTCAAAAAAGGATTCCATCATGCCATACATGCTGGCATAATCTTTCAAACAGAAAACAAAATCATTCACTCCCATGAAGCTTCTTCTAGAATTATGGAATGCACAATTCAAAAAATAGAAGTAGAGAAAAAGAAAAAGAAAAAGAAAAAGAAATTTTCTGCTTTATCTGAAAAAAACATATTTTTCAAGCAGAAAATAACGAAGTATCAAATAAAAAATGATGGCATTCATGAAATATCATATCTTGGGTTATCTTTCCATGCATTTATCTCAATTTTCATATTTTTACGCAAACGGAATTTTATCATAGTGCTCTAAAAGTTAATTCTTATAAAGTATTTTAGGACTTGGAAACTTTCGTATTTTGTTTTTGAGAAATCTTTCTCTCATAGTGCATGTATGAAATTTCGATATGGAATGCATTTGGCAGAGAACTTCATCGGATATTCAAGACACTATTTCAATTTGAGTTGAATGCTTAGTATCGTAGAAAAAAAAAACAAAAAACGTTGGCCTTATATTATTCGCCACTACTGTATTTAAACCGTTTCACTTATGATTGTTTTGTTATTACATAAGTCCAAGTATGTTGAACTTTTCCATCTAAATTCATTTCCTAAAAAAGTTGACTCAATAGTTCAGTACGACTATAGGACAGAATGCATCACAATAAGTCTCTATTATCAGTGAAATGATACTCAGTTAAAATGCAATAGTGAATAATACATTCGGCATAGTAAATCAGATATGTTCTCGATATGAATTATAAGAAAAAAATTCTTTTGCAAAACACAATACATCATTGTTTATTTCAACAAAGAATTTAATTATCCATATCGATTTGACAATGCATTAAAAACAAACAATTATATCTAAATTTAAACTAAAAACACAGAACATTGTTTTTTAATGGTATGTAACTGATTGCAAATGCAGACTAAACACAAAAAGAACGAAAACAAACAACACCATTTATAATTATGAAAGCTAACTAAGCATAATTATGAGAATAACAAAACAACAAAATTAATCAATAAGAATATGTTTCAAATAAATTGAAAAAAAAACAGGAATTTGATTATTTGTATTTTATGCAACAGTAACTGATTTAGCTAAATTTCTTGGACAGTCAACATCATATCCTCGTAATACTGCAATATGAAATGAAAGTAATTGCATTGGCACAACACATAAAATTCCTTGTAAACAATCAACTGTACGTGGAACAGTTATACGTCGATTTTCTAATTTATTCAATTCTTCATCATCATCATTACAAATTAATATTGGCTGACCACCACGAGCTTGAACTTGTGAATATGCATTCATACATTTCTAAATATTTCATTAAATTATTTGTATTCAAAAAACAAAAATGTTAGAATAATCTCTGTGGGATAAAAATCTGAAGCTGCTCTTGCTAATAAGTAAGAAAGTAGTTCATATATTAGAAAAAGACGTTATTAATATACAATCTTTAATCGTCGATCAACATCCGTCATGATATATGACGCTGGAGGAGTTTCTAAATTTCGACAATGAAACTTTCGCCAATTTAAATGTAAATCGGATATGAATTTTAAAAAATCCTATCGGCTAGATTAGTAGGCGCTCGTGCTGGGTGTGAGTATGAGTAGGTTTTTCTTCACTCATACTCTCTCACAGAGCGATGTGCCACAACAATCGTAGATGCAGAATCAGCGAGCAAAACCACGTCGGATTTCATATAACACAAGATATTTTCTAATCAAAAAATATCCTCGAAAAAATATGAGCAAGGGTTCCCCTCAGATGTTTTTCGTCGAAAATTTTTTTTTCTTCCCACCTCTATACTTCAAGAGTCCTTTTAGGCTGTGTTTCATAAAAAATAGATAACCTACTATTTTAACAGGATCATCCATAATAATCATAACAATTGGCATTGCATCATCAACCATAGCTAATGGACCATGTTTTAATTCACCGGCAAGTATACCTTCCGAATGCATATATGTTAATTCTTTAACTTTCTGCAGTGTAAATAAAAGTTTTATTAAAAAAAAAAAAGAGGTTCCATCTCATCTTACCAAAGCACCTTCAAGGCATGTAGCAAAATTAAAACCACGACCCATCACTAATAATGATGATTGTTTATATAATTCTTCAGCAAAATCACGTACTATTTTATCACAGTTAAGTACTTGTTTAATTAATTCAGGTAATTTTTGAAGACCATCTATAATATCATCACGTCGGGATTGTTTTGATATTGAATCTTCCGATAAAACAAGACCAAATAGAACAAGTGCTAAAAATTGACTTGTATACGCTTTTGTACTTGCCACACCTTAGTAAAATTTTTCATCAAAAAAAAAAGAAATTCTTATAAATTTCATTACAAAGAGAAACACATACCAATTTCTGGTCCAGCATTAATATGAACACCACAATGTGATTCACGTGAAATACTCGATCCCACTGTATTTGTAAATCCGAGTATAAGTGCACCACGTTGTTTGCAATATCGTAATGCTAATATTGTATCAGCTGTTTCACCTGATTGTGATATAAACATACAAACATCATCACGGAAAACTGGTGTATTTCTATCAAGAAAATCTGATGCCAGTTCAACCATAACTGGTAATTCAGTTAATTCTTCAAGTAATTGTCGTGTAGCAACAGCTGAGTGATAACTTGTTCCACATGCAATTAATATTAAACGACGACAACGACGAATTTCACTAATATAATCTTTAATACCACCAAGTATAACTTTTTTTGTATTAAAATTAACACGACCACGCATGGTATTAACAACAGATTCAGGTTGTTCGAAAATTTCTTTTTGCATAAAATATGAATAATTACCTGATAAAGAAAAGCAAACAAATATTTAATAATTCAAATGATTAAATTTGAATACCTTTCATTATTTCTTGTAATTCAATTTTAAGTTCAATTATTTCACGAATTGTTGATTGACCAGATACTTCATGTTGTGTACGATGAATAGTTAATGCACCATTATTAACAACAGCAAGATCATCATCTTCCATAAATATGACTTGATTTGTATGTTCGATTATAGCACTAAAATAAATTAAAATAATTTCGTCCTATTTTCGAAAATCGTTCAAACAAAAATTTTCGTTTTTCTTTTATTTTAAAAACTTGATCAAGTTTTTGACTTTTTCATAGATTATAACTTGCATCTTTCTTAATCGCATGATTGTTCTAGCAATGTCTAAAAGCTACGAACCGAACCGATCTCATTGTTGGTAGAACTTTTATCTTTATCTTATCCTAAGAAGTTTTTATCTTACTCTTCCATGATCGTACTCTAGTCGGAAGACTCTAAAAGCTATAAATAGCAAACTAGTATCACTGTAGAGATGTGCATGGTAACATTTTTGTTTTTGAGCAAGATCAGTGAAAGAAAGGATGACCATTTTCGATTTGACTTTGATTCTTGATAAAGGTTATTTTTTTAACAAGTTCTTCTTCCATGAGTGCATATGAAAATATTGCCTTTTTCATCTCACACGTAATTAAACTTAATTAGCTATTTAGTTAATTAATTAAAATATCATTAACGAATAATTTTTTAATCTTATGACATACAGTGAAATTTTCGACAAGATTGATCTTCAAAATTAGAAAACACCTCCAAAAAACTGGTTCTTCAGTGGTGGTGCTCATGTCTCAGAATGAGACCTTAGATCTTCGGTAAGAGCATGTGCCATTTAGAATTCGTATTCGAACTTCTCATGCAACTGTAAGAGGATTTTTCATACCTATATTAGAACTCACTAAAGTCACTAAAGACAAATAAACTTAAGTTTTTGAAGAGCTAAAGTTTGTTCAGGAAGAACTCTCAATAGAGATTTTATAGTTTGAAAAGCCCTCTGCAAAACCTTTGTCTTTTTTGTGTCATATCACTAACAGTAGTTTTTCAATAATAACTCGATAGAACAAAGATCTATAGTGTTGACTTTTCCGAATATCTAGAGTCAATTAGCATACATCTCTTACAGAAAAATTCGCTAAAAGAAATTTTCGAGTCTTGAGATATACGTAGTTTTACTTTACAAAATATATGAATGTGAGAGCAAATAAAACAAAAAGATTTCGTTGATATTTTTTTTTGTTTTTATCAGTTAACTCTTTGGGAATCGACTTTTTTTTCGAGAAAAGGCAAACGATATCGTCGAAAATAGTTATAACTTAGAACTTATGAACTATATACTGGTGGCGCTAGCTTTTGTTTCTACAAAGTATGACAACGAACTCTGCGATGGAAAAAGAAATAAAATATACAACGATTCCACTTCGAAATATCCAAAGAACTTGAGCCCTTTCTTTCAGTTGTGAGGCCGTATATATACGGCCTTAGTCCCCAAAGAGTTAAAGAACTCGGGGAAAAGCGAGAAGGAATCCGTATTTGTCAAGCCTTGAATACTTTTCTAAAATTTTAATAATGAAAGTTTATAATACCTTGCATCCGAAGCAAAAAAATATTCAATACTACGATTATTTCCTGTAACCGCTAAATCAGTTGTTGTTTGGTCAGCAATCACTAGTGAAGGTGAAAAAACACCACGTAAATCTAAACAATAGAAATTAAATGATTTAATACAGAAAATTAATTAAATAAAAACCACTCGAGCAAAAATTAATATATATTAATCATGTATTTCGAAAAAAGTTCCATTGAAACTTGTTCTCGTCTTCTTTATTTGTTGAAGCAGTTTCATATATCAGAATACCTTTGCTAGAGTAATAATTTTGTATAAATCTATGAAAAATTAATTGTTAGCAATGTCTAATTTAATTTCATTTATAATCTTTTCTTTTGTTTGTTTTACTGCATAAAAACAAAAACCTACTATCTGTTGCTTCGGAATCCACTGAAATACAAACAATTAAGAAGCATTTGAAATAGATTATGAAAAGCAACACAAAATAAAGAAAGTTAGAAGTTTTAATAATAATAATAATAATAATAATAACCACATAAAAGATTATTAGACGAAGAAAAGAGAAGCAACAAAATGGCTGAGAATAAATTACCTTTGGCAATTCGAGGATTTGTTGAAATATCTAAGGTAATTTCATTTTATTCTTATATTTATTCATAGAAAAACTTAGTTTTCCAAAATAGATAAAACTATTAAGATAGATATTTACCTTTGCTGAACATCACTGGAATATGATTAGCACCTAATTGATCAGCACATTTAACACCAATAACCATCGGACTTCCCCGACTAAATAAAGAATTTTCATTTAAATGTCTTTTTTTTTGACTAAGATATCGGCAATTTGAAATTTGAGAAAATGCTCTTTGAAAACTATTTTTTTATCATTCAAAAATCGATCTTTTCGATATGATTGCAAAAAAATTATAAATACAGATTTGTATTGTAATAAGAAAAGTGCTTAACTGATTAATCTCTTTTAAGTCGAAACTTCGCACATCATGTAGATTCTAACGAGGTATGGATATTTTGAAATCAGTTCGGGCTCTTAGCTTATTTCTGCCGAAATATTGGATCTTTACGGCAGATCTTAAGTCACTGTCATAATTTGCCTCAGGAACAATAAGAAAACTGGTTTTCGAATTTTGGCTTGAAACTTTTCATAGAGATAGACCCTGATGAGAATAGTTTATTGCTAAAGTTTCAAATCATTTCGTTGTTCCTATCGTAAGATATGGCTATGATAAAAGCTTGTCTTTTACACTACTTATGTACATTGACAGATTTAATGCTCTTATCTCAGAAAAGGAGCAAATCAAAAGACCTGCAACTTTCACAAGAAACTATTCTTTTTAAGATTTTTCTCTGTGCAAAATTTCGAATCGAAGTTTTAAGATAAGTTATCTTTGTGTTGCTAAGAAAACTATGGCATTGACTTGCAAAATCATCGTAAAAAAGAGGCCCCTCAACAGCAATAAGCTAAGGGTCTGAACTGTTTTCAGAGTATTCATAGCTCATTAGAGTCTACATTATGCACACTGTCGAAACTCTAATGTGATTAATCAGTTGAAGAACTTCTCTCATCAATTTTTGATCATTAGAAACTGACTTTAAAAAGAAACGAATATCATATTCAGAATCAGCGTAAAAATCTGCATTGAATAGCATACTCAAAACTGATTTTTGTCAGACTCAACTTTAAAGAAAACACAGATCAAATTATTCGACCATAACTTATTGAAGGAATGAAAGGGTTGAAATTTGACGAAAATTAATTTGAAGCATTTAGTATGTTATTCCATGCAAAGTTTTGCGCTCATTCTTAATATGATATTCATTGCTTTCGGAACTGAAGTTCTGATGGTTAAAATCTTATAGGACAGACTCGTATTTATGGCTTCCTTTTGCTATCATATTGAAAAAATCCACTTTCACAATAAAACTATTCAAAAACGTTGCGTAATTTTTTTTTCATACTTATGTGACGAGTAAACTTAAAAACAAATAATTGGATAAATATTGAAACTAAAGAGATTGGAGTATTTCAATTTTTATAGGCTATTCTGACTTTCGACGAACTCGATCCAATCATAATAAAATAAACTTCGTTCAAATATTGAATTACTAACACCATATAAAACTTACCGAGTAGCACATAATTCACCAGGATAATGCATACTTTTAAATAATAATGCAAAAGCACCTTCCTATAATATTTTATCAAAATTTAAATATTAAAAATAATAATAATTACTAATTGTGAACAAGCCATTTCAATAAGTTTTTGAAAACTAATATGTTCATTTTTATGTTTATCATAAAGATATTTAACTAATTTAATAACAACTTCGGTATCTGTTTCAGATTCAAATTTATAACCTTTATTTGTCTAAAATTTACAAAAAAATAAATTTCAATAAATAATTAATTAAAGAAAAAAATTTACAAGATATTGTTTAATATCTTTATAATTTGTTATAATTCCATTGTGAACACAAACAAATTGATTTTGTTCATCTGATCGTTGTGGATGGGAATTAACTGCATTGGGTTCACCGTGTGTTGCCCAACGTGTATGTGCTATACCAACATGTATTGTAAATTCACCATTCCAATCAATATTTTCTAATGCTATATTTATTGAATAAATTTTTTTTTAAAAATGTTATTTTTATATTTAAAATAAAATAAAAACAAGATTTCTTACATTTAACAGCATGTTCAAGTTCTTCAACTTTTCCTTTTTGTCTTACAACAATACAAGCTCGTTCATCTCTATTGTTTATATTAATATTATCACCATCAAAAGCAATACCTGACGAATCATAACCACGATATTCTAAACGATGAAGACCATTGATAAGTATATCAGCAATAAATCTTCGATCACGTTTAACCAAATAATTTAAATAACCAAATATACCTGTTGAGTAATCAGGTAATCAAAGAAAAACATATTCAAGGTAATCAAAAGAATGTGAAATACCCTACCACACATTGTCGTCTAGCTGATTAAGATTTACTTCTGATAGCAAAAAAAAAGAAACGAACGTGTAAATCTTAAAATATAAAAAAGTAAATATTTAGAGTAATAAATGAACATAAAAAAACAAGATGATGAAATGTGTTGTCCTAAGAGAATATTTAACGTGGCAAAAACGCATGGGACAACGAACAGCAGCAAGAATTTTGCCATTCTCTTTGTATATACACCGGCGCCGACTCCGATCATAAAAGAAAAAAAAAAGAAATAGAAACTGAAGAAAAACATTCATGGCAACCTACAAATGTATAAGCAGACAAATAACAATCCACGTTTACTAGAATAAATATAGAAAAATGTATAACATACAAAAAAAATATGCTTGTAACTTAATCAATCATGCGGAAAAGCAAACGTGTGAGGGATGTGAGTAATATTAAAAAAAGGAGATCGATGTTTCATCATGAGTACAGTTCTAAGCAAAATGGTAAGTATGTGACCGATTACAATAGACAAATAGCAAACAAAATTATCTAATCTTATTGTCTATCTTGTTCAAACTTATACATATGTGGGTTGTATGAGGCACACAACGGCAACAATAGATTAAAATTCAGTCCATTTTTCTTACATAATAAACTGCTGATTGAAATTATACAATAAAAAAGACAATAGATTCATAATTGAGAATGAATATTCTACAAATTCTGATTATTCATTCATCCTTTTTCTCTATTTGAAAGAAAGAGAATATTAGGGTCGTAAATACAAAATAAATGTGCAAACCGTCAAGTTTTGATCATCAATAACCTGAGTTCTTATACATATTGCTTTCCAATCTGTTTGTTAATATGTTTAGACAAAGATGACAAACATAAACAATTCTATTACTCAAATGATAATTAGTTTTTTTTTTTCAAGCTATTATTCTCAGTTCTATGAGATATAAAAATGACAATAAAATAATGGTCTGTAGTCTTACCATACGACCGAAAAAAAAACGTTGACATTTTTAATAACTCGAGTTATTCTCTATTTTGGTGTAATTACAAAACAGTTGAAGTCATATGCTTCTTTGCACTGTCAACAATATATCAGAGACTAGAGAATGATCTATCGTAATGTGCACTAATAATCAATGGTTTAAATTAGATAGACATAAGAAAGCGGCAATTGATCGAGTACCTGTACAAACTGTGGACATCCATAGTGAATTTGATTTTTACTTATACAAGCTGTTTTATAATTAACCTAAGATAACCATAAATGTCCGTAGAGTATTTATTTCAAACTCAATCTTATTTTTCAGCTTTGTTAGTGGTTGCAGTTTTTACAGGTAATGCAATTAGTCGCATGTTTGATAGAAACGTGGTCCGTCATCATTTTTGACAAGCTTCAATTTATAGACATGTAACTCAATCACACATAGCACAATGCGAGGGCGAGAGTGACATGTAAAAAAGAAAGATATACCACATGGAATGGATAAGTAGATTATGTCGCCGGTAAACTATAATTAAATGTTAATATTTATCTTTCTGATGTATCAAAATATTAGGAAAAAATGAAAAATATATTCATTGTGGAACAAGAAAAATTCAGATTTTCTCTTCTGGAAAGGTAATTTAAAACTCTACGAAGGTAAACATCTATTTTTGGTAGCACGCCCATGCAGGAAATGATACAATAGTCATAAATCTCTGAAGAGTGAACCCAATTTTTAAGAAAAGCGTTGCCCTCACGCTTGATGAATTATGTGAGTTATAGAAGATTCTTAAAGTAATTAAAACTTCCCTTTGTGTAATGTTTTATGCATAATTAGACAAGTCAACTGAACATTTGCATTTATAATTCCATCTAATGTTCTTTACCGTTGAATATATTTGTAGTTATTTTCAGGAGCTCCCTGACCTATTCCTCTGTAGTACAAATGAAATTATCTTCGGCAATTTTATTTTTTCAGTATTACGACTAATAGTCGTAGCATCCGATTGTCGCTGCAACAAGCAATTGGCATCACCCAATTGTCGTACGTACGTTCTTTTCAATTATAAACGATCTGAGAAAAACTTTAGTTTATAATCAATATGAATAATTGCTCTAATTATCAAGCATGTTTACTAAATATTTCCTTCTCTCATAATAAATATTAGCTAAAAAAAAATACAAACCAGAAAATATTGTTTAATAATTGATGAAAAGAATTAGTGTATATTAAATGATATTTTTTTTATTCTTTAACGGTCTAAAACAAGAATTATAATAAATTTTTTTTCTTTTCATGTTTTCTTGTTCAGACAGAAAACGATCGATCTTATATTTTGTTTTAAAACTAGTTGTTGATTATATATCTTAAACAGATGTTTGCACTGGTGGTTCATAGCCATCAGCTCGTTCGACTCGTTGGCCTTTGTCATCAACAGTTACACTACTATAACTTTCACCGTGCATTTCCATAAGACGAGCAACTGGAAAAAAAAAGAAACAAAAAAAATAATCAATAAGAAAAAAAAACAGATTTTTTTACCATCAAATTTTGGTTTTTTGATTACTTTCACTTTTCGAATATTCACATTTTGTAATGGATAAATACTACGACAAGCTTTTTCTATTTCAGCACCAATACTATTTGGAATACTGAAAAAAAAAAGAAAAGAAAAAATTGTTTTTTCTTATTACAATCAACCAATTCATGATGGCATACAGTTTATTAACAACTTCCTTAAGTTCACTGCCAGCAATATCTCTTGTCATAATTTCAACCATTTTCTTACGAATAGCTTTAATCTAAATAAAAATCATTTTAAAAATTCGAACTTTAAATGTATGAAACAGAAATAAGGTCGACTCGGTTTAGTATTCTGCAACCAGATCGTGTACCGAGAGATGAAAAAAATTGCGGAATCGGATTCAGGTTGAGATCATACCCAACAATATATGAGATCTCAACGTTTCGAATAAATCTTTATTTCTTCAAACTACTATATATATAAAAGCATAGGAATACATACTGGTCCAACATGATTAAGCAACGTATTATCTAGAGGACAGGTCACAATGGTAGAACACGATATTGTTTTACTAAGAGAATTCGTTTTTTTAATGAAAGCTCACTTATAGATGATGAAGAACCATATAACGAAGCAATTAAATATATAGAAAGGAAAATAAACTATGAAAAAAAATCCCAAGTATCATCATCAATAAGATAAAGTATACTAAGTGAAACTGATCAGATTTTAGAAGCAGAAAGACACTAGATGAATCCTGAATCACTTGTCTTTTTGTGGAATTTCAAATGACCTCTTTATTTATTGCTGTTTATGGAAGAAACTAAACCGTATACTTCTTTTATATAAAATAGAAGTTTGAAAACAGTATGTCGAATAGCTTTTGTCCGGGTGCGAAAAGTCATACCCGTGAAGAATACTAGTTCAATTCGCAAACCGAATCGATCTAATCTCTCGTATGAAACTAACTTGTGTATGTTGTGCATAAGATGTTTTTCTGATTTGTCCACGCATTTTCATTGTGAAACCAATACAAAATACGCGTAAAAGATATCCATCAGATGTACGAATATCAGCTTGTGCTTCAATTAATGTCTATTAAATAAAATTAAAAATGTTGTTGGTTTTTTTTTTTAAATAAAATCTTTCTTTTTTCTTTTTAAATTACCTGCCATTTTTTAACAAGCATACGAAGACGATCTGTTGTAATATCCATACCATGAAAATTTGTTAAGCAATGACGACCTTGTACATCTTCACAGATAAGTTTAAATTTTCGATAACTATCTTCATCGTCAAGTTTGATTAAATCACCAAGTGATGCTTCAAATACACGACCTTTTAAAGCATCCGAAGCGATTTCTATAAGGAAAAAAACAACAATCGAAAAATGAAAATTTGTCGTCAAAAATTAATTTCGTAATTTCTTACTTGTGCCAGTTGTTCGTGTTACAAGTGTACGACCAATAGTACGTGTATCAAAATTAGCTGGTACTTTAACATCATACCAATCTTTTTTTGAAAATGGATCAGCACTAAAAACAATAGTAATTTAAAATAAAAATTTATTACCTAAAACTATTTTATATATTACATACACTTTCTTTTTGCCACCCTTCTTTCCACCTTTAGTTAAACGTTTGTTCTTGCCGATGGCCATTGGTTATGATCAATCTACAAAATATAAAAGAAATTCTTTTGTTTCGGGCGATTTTTACTTCTATCTTCAAAAATTTTTTTATAGAATTTAAGGTACTTCTACAAATTAGCGACATCACAGCACCGACTTTCTTTGATATGTTCTTTTAATTAGTGCATAGGATGTCGTCGATCTGGAGATGAACCTTTATGTCATTATCAAACTTGTTTGAAAAAGAAAAAAAAAATCGAAAAGTAATTTTATCCATAAAATATACTATGGATAAGACCATATTGACAGAACTATGACCTCCTTAAAACAGATTATAATCAGTCATTAATGCAGATGATGTGTTTCCAAATTCTCATTGGTTTACGTCTCATAACCGTACACGCAGCACGGCATATTCTCTCGCTTTTTTTTTATTTTTTATTTTTTATTTCATAATCATAATCATTTGCTTTTCTTCGTTTTGTCTCAAGAGATAATCAAGTGTTGTTTTCTTTTAAGATATAGACATGGGAAATCAATCATTTCTATTTATTATTGTCTTTATTGTTATTCAATTAATCCTACCAACACATTTACTTTATTTTCATATACGTGAAACTGAGCGTAAATGTTTTATTGAAGAAATACCAGATCAGACATTAGTTATTGGTAAATATAAAGTTGAATTATTTGATGCAGCATCAAATACATATTTACCATCAACACCTGGTATTGGTATGCATGTTGAAGTTAAAGATCCTGATGAAAAAATAGTTCTATCAAAATTATATACAAGTGAAGGACGTTTTACTTTTACATCCCATATACCTGGTGAACATGTTATTTGTTTATATTCCAATTCTACTGCTTGGTTTGGTGGACAACAATTAGTAAGTTATTGAAATAAAGTTTTTTTTTTTCATTGAAATAAATGTTTTGCTATTGTAGCGTGTTCATCTTGATATTGATATTGGTGAACATGCAGTTGATTATCAACAAATAAGTGCAAAAGAAAAATTAACTGAACTTCAATTACGTGTTAGACAATTATTAGATCAAGTTGAACAAATGTATGTTTAACAAGAAAACAAAAGAATTGATTTCATTTAAGTTTTATTTTGTTTTTATAGAAGCAAAGAACAGAATTATCAACGTTACCGTGAAGAACGTTTTCGTGCTACGAGTGAATCAACAAATCAACGTGTTTTATGGTGGTCAATTGCACAATTACTTATTCTTGTTATAGCTGGATTTTGGCAAATGCGTCATCTTAAAGGATTTTTCGAAGCTAAAAAATTAGTTTAAACATTTTATTTCATTCCACTTAATATTTGTTTTCTTTTTCATGTTATTTTCAATTGTCATTCGTCTATTATATTGATTTTTTTTCGTTTTTTTTTCTTTTGTCTTGGTCAATCTCAAATAGATTTCAACTTAACTCTCGTTTTTATTTGTTCTGTTTTAGAGAATTAACTAAAACAATCAAAAAAAAGCAGAACATTTTTGTTTTCTTATCTTCAAAAGAATTTTGTTTTATTTATATTTATTGTTATTCGATGCTTGCACGAGGTGTTCGAAATGTTATTTATAATTATACTGATGCTCAGCGTAAAGTACGATCGGCAACATCAAATGATGCATGGGGACCATCACCCGCACTTATGCATGAAATAGCTGATTTAACAGATAATGTTGTTGCTTATGCTGAAATTATGCCAAGTAAGTTACTTAGTGAAATATCTGATGATATTGTTTACTTTAAATTATAAAAGCTATCAGTGAAACATGAGAGGATTTTATTAAGAGGTTTTTTTTTCTATTCTGTACGTGACGACATGCTATAAGAAGATTTTCCATTGTGATATCCTGT